GTTAATTTAATCCTTAAACTAACATATAATAAATACTAAGATTGAAGGGGGAGGTTTATCTTTCTTATTTGAAAGCTGAACAAATTATTTTCATAAAAACTGCAAATTAACCTTTGTGAAGAAGACACTGAATATCTCTTCTGTGAAAAGTAACTACAGCAGCAGTGCTTCTGATTAGAAAGTATATTTAAATATTTGGTTTCTATGTATCATATGTCTTTATATAGTTTTATATGCATTATGTTCAATAATACAAAAGGGATGGATCTCCTGTATCTTTAGTTATCTAGTAATTGAATATTCAGGCCAAATGACTTTCATAGCGTTCTCAAAGGAATAAACAAAGATAGATGGACCTCTATTGTACACTGATGTGACTCCAGACATGTTCCTCCTTCTCTTCATTTACAACAGGAGCAGCAGTCTGGCCTTAGTCTCTATAAGCCTGACTGTGTCAGTTAGAGCTCCTGAACCCCTTAGCAACACAGTATGCATTTGCTGAATCAAAATTAGTAAAAGAGGCAGTAACTTAGAAAATGCAGTGCAGAGATAACAAAATACATCTGTTCGGAAATTATTTGGATTTCAGCCTACTTAGATGGCTAAAAAAAAATAAGGGAAAAATAAAAAGATGAGAGAAATATTAGCTCCTATGCAAAAAAAGAAAAAAAAATTAATATGTTCAGACTACTATAGGTCAATATTGTTTTGGTTAAAGAGGATAGAAATGTTATAGCTTTTATTTCCAAAGACTGAGAGAAGGATGAGTATTAAGCCCCTTGTTTTGCCTTATCTGCAAAGCTGTTCAAGTAGTGGAGACACTTCAATACACTTGTCTTAGTATATAGAATATGAAAACAAAAGTTCTTAGTTTGTTTTCATTATAATTCATCCATATTTTCCACCTGTTTACTGTAAAACATTATGCTGTACCATGTGAGAATATGACATTGCTTGTGTTCATAATTCGTGTTCTGTATTACTACTGATAATTTAGCAGTTACTGAACATGTAGTCACAAAGGACTGTAAATTTAACATGAGATGAAGCTAGTAAAAAGTACAATTTCTAGTGGAATCTCTGAAGTGCTTCACAATAAAAAGTACTTGCATCTGCAGTTCTGCAGTTTAAATGATGTCTATGTTTTCTTTTTTTTTTCCTTCAGTAGCTTTTCAGTTTTTAGTTATTATAATTTCTTCTTTATTTCACTTTTAATAAATCAGTAATGATCAGGATCCAAATTTCCTCTTAAAAAAGAAAAAAAAAATATTGGTCCCTAACAGAAGAGAATAAGCAGAGTGTAAAACAGAGCATCATGTTAAAAATGTCAAAGCACTTATCTACAAATAGTACATTCGTTATCCTTGTGGTAATAAATACAGCAAATATGCTAAAACTGACAGCTTTTGTCTTTTGAGTTTGTTTGTTCTTCATAAAACTAGGAGCTCAGTTCTTCTTTTATTTCACAAGGAGCAGTATTTTCCTTCCCTATAATTTCCTATATCAAAGGGATCACACTATTTGTAGAATGATAAAAGACAAATTGGCTTTTAATTAAGAAAAGAAAAAAAAAAATCCCAGGGTAATTATACAATAAGTAGTCCCAAACAGTGCTAATAGAAACAATACATGCATGTTCAGTTAAGAATACACTGATCAATGTGCAGAACAAAATGTGAGATTTCCAGTATTAGCATTTCAGTGTGCAAATACTGACATTTTGTCCACAAATGAAACACGCTAACCAACAGTGTACATCAATAAACAGAGATACTGCCAATCTTTTGTTTCATCAGTGTTTTTATAAAAAAAAAGAATATCCAAACTTCAGGAAGCATCAGTGAACAAATACACTTCCAGTTAAATATTTCTCTTTCTGAAGGCAATCACTTTTCTTAACACATGAAGAAGCTGCCTGAAGACCAGCTAACACTACTTTTTTTTAGCTTTTTTAGGCAGAAAGAAAAAGTTGGCAACAATTTCCATATTAATGAGTTCGGTAAAATATGAATTACTTGGAGGAGGAAGTGGAAATTGAACACACTTCACACACTCAAGTGAATGCTCAGACATTCTAAAGGACAATGTTCTTGCTTCTCCTGAGTTAAATGAATCTTTAATTTTTTTTGTTTTCAAATCAAATAAAATACAAGAGGAAGGCTAATGCATGCTTCTCATTACCAGAGCATACTGCTATCCACACCTGAGGCAAGCTTCCTTTGAGGGCATATGCTTGACATTCATGGATTTGACCCTCACAGATAGGGAAGAATCTGCAGCCAGATGAGCTTTTATTACCACATCTGTATGATGCAGGAAATACAACTCACTGCTAGTGTTTTAGGAAGGAAAGCAGTTGTGTTCTGCTCTCGAAGGAATAGTAATAAGTACTGTGACTCTTTTTTAACTCAATAAGCTGTAGATCAGAAGCTTACAGTCTCCTAAATCCAGAGAATCAAGAAATTTAGCATAAGATGTTGGTCTTGGCATTTTCAAGCAGCCCCCTGTTCCGGTGACATGTCCAACTCCACCCAGCTGTTGCAGCATGGCCAGGCATCAAATGCCAGTGTCTAGGCCTCAGTTTGAAATTGCATTTCTGAGGATTATTTAGAATACAACTTAAAATTATTTTGTTTACCATAAGCACAATAAAAAATGTATTATTGAGTAAGTTTTTGCACAGTTGAATTGATTATTTTCCTTTCTAGTTCATAAAATACTCTTTAAGCTTTTGTTGAGTGCATTTAATGTGCATCATCCATTCACATTGTTTTTGATTACAAGAACATTATAACTGAGTAATATAGAACATATAGACTGAGTATGTTCTCCATCCTGATTTGGAAGATTTGGTTGGAAATACTGCATTTCTGAGTAAAAGTAAACACTCCTAGTCAGCCTAGTTATATTTGCTTTGGCACTAATAGTTGATAATCAAGGAAAGGAAATGTAGAAAGACATTTCATTTAAAGCCTCATGTTGTTGTCCTTCTTATGTTAACTAATTATCAACTAGTTAGTTGACAATCATGGGAAATCACTATTAAAAAACAGGTTCTTTAAAGTTTTTATAACCATTTGAGAATGGTACATATTTTTCATTAATAAAAATGTGATATTTTCCTTTCCAGATTGGACATGTATGTTGCTTTTAAGATATCTTTCCATAGACATATGAGAAGAACAGAGATTTAGGTGTGTATTAAGGAGAAAAGACTTCTTAAAGACAAGGATATTTTTTCAAGTTATGTGTAAGCATGTACAACAAGATTTATTTAAAAATGTACTTTGCCTCTGAGTAGGGGATTTTCCAAATGTAGACTTGAATTTAGCAGGATTTATGAATCAGGAAAAGCAATATCATTGCTGTTTTGTGTAGATTTTCAAGTAATTTCTTTTCTGAAATAGCTATGTCAGATTTGGATGTATTGAGTACAGTAGTTAGTTCACTCTTGGTCTGTGCAGACATTCTTGAAATCTAATCCTTGCCTCCCAGGTTTAACTAAAACCCATACATGTAATTAGATGATAACCGCAGTATTCATGAGTTTGATAATACAGTGTTCATCCGTGTCACATTTGATACTCCTATGGACTTTTTAGTGTCTACTGAGAATGTCTGCAGAATTTCTTAGAGGAAAAAAAACCCAAACACCTGTAGATTCTACTCATGCAAATGTATGTGTGTAATATAAGTCACATTGCCATACATTGCCATATAGCCTCCCTGTGTGATACACTGGGAACCCAGAGATGACACTGAAGTCATTAGGACTGAGGAAACTTTCTGCTCATTGGCTCAAGCCAGCAAAATAAATTTGTAGGGAAAAACTTGAGGCCATTAAAAGATTGAAACAGGACCAGCATGATAAAATTTAGAGAACGATAGGAAAAAAAAGATCAGAAACATATTAATTCCTCCTTAAAATAATAATCTTCATTTTGCATGTGTTCTATTGCCTAGACATCAGGCAGCAAAGAAAGGAGTAGCATTCACTAACAATTGCTTAAGCTTTTACACTTTACATTTGTATCATGTATAGATTGGATATAAAAGTAGGGAAGGTGGAAAAATTTTCAGGAAGAATACTGCAGCTATGTGCATAATTTTCACAGGGAGTTCTGCATCCATTAAAGGAACAGAAAATAATGAAACTTAAATATGTTATGAAACTTAAGATGCCTAAGAGAAAAAGGTTGCCCTGGGGGTGCATGGATTTGATACTGACATCTGTACTCAAGCAGAATGTTTTCTTACTGTGAGGAATTTTATTTGAATGAGATTAAATTGTTCCCCTAACTAATATAAAAGATTAGTAGTATTTCTTTCACCAAGGAAAAAGAACAAACAATATTTGTTGAGACAGAATAATAGATGCAATTGTCTATTTTTCACATAGTAATCATGTCAGATTCATAATTTTACATACATTCCCTTTTGAAAAGAATTTTCAATGACAAGCCACAATATTTTGTTACAGTGCTCAGAATGAAATTGCCAGTTTCAGGACAGACATCCTTGTCACAATTGCCTTTAAAAGAAACATATCACCAACTATTTTACAAACGCATACTACCATAACATTTTAAATTTGAATGTGCATAAGGTGGAATCCAATTTCCATTCACAACGTAGTGGTCATAACTTTAAACATTTTGGTAATTATAATATGTTTTGTTTTGATCTGAATAGTCCAGAAGATCTCTCTACAAAGAGAAATTACAATTAAAAAAAAAAAAAAAAAAAAAGAGGATTCAAGATCTCAAGAAAAGTTTCAGAACTTTGCATTTCCTATAAAATTCAAAATTTTCAACAAGTAAATGCTTGTATATTGCCTGGCCAAACTAGTAAAAAATAAATTGCTTTGATAATTTTATTGTTTCTCCAGATTTCCTGTGTCTCTAGGAAAGAGTTGTAAATAAATCAGTTTATCTGGGAAATGGTACCAGTTGGGACCCAGCTGATTGCATTTAATGTGTACTTTCTCAGGTAGCTTTGTTTTATTGACTTGATGTTTGAGAAGTCCAGATGCTAATGCTCCTAATGATTAGCCACTCTTTTTGACTTTTGGTAACAAGAATTCTCATGCAGCTAATATCAAACAGAACTTTGTGCTCTACATCTGTCATTTCAAAATTCCCATTTTTGAATTCCCCTAGTCTCAAGTATGTAGTACATTTTCTCCCTATTCTACTCCCTACAATCTTCTCTCCTACTTCCAAGGCCCCATAATGCAAAATGTCATTTTGCCGGTCTTCAGTTCCAGTGATAACTTTAATCTTACTGATTTTAATAGGCTTTTCAAATACAATCCCATAGAAGTCCCCTGTAGAAGGAGGCTTGCCCCAGAAGTACTCATCAATGCTACTGTAAGCCTTGCTTGCTTCGTAGTTTTCAAATACATTCATATTGGTGTGCAAGTTTGCAGGGGGGTTGTCAGGGATATCAAATGATTCCTCTTCAAAATCATCATCCTTTAGTTTGTTTTCAGCTCCTTTGTAAGATGAATAGTATCCCATGTGCTGGAACAGTGATGGCTTAAAACGTATCACTTCCTTTTGAGCTAACAGTCCACGAAAGTGGATCAACAGCCAATCGCAAGGCATTTCTTGGTAAAACATCAACAAAAAATGGGCCAGGCGTGGGAGGTCATGGGAATGGTAAAGCTTTCCAATATACCCCAGTTTGGAGAATTCCAAAGTTACCCAGTAGGATCCTTCTCTTGAGGTAATTACTTTCTTAACAGTGGTCAAAAAGTTCTTTGAACAGCGAACATCATCTTCTAGCATCACATAATAGTCAGAAAGATTAGCACAAAAGTTAAGCAGGAAAGCATAATCAACATTTTGTTTGGATCGAAACTTCACGCGGTCTTCTGGGTCATTGTAATTTCTCTTGAGACCATCCAGTATTGGATAATACTCCTCAGGGACATGAATAACTATTAGTCTGCCTGCAATTATGTGATGTGCAAATTTCTGTGAAATATCCTGGACCATCCCTTCACACCAGGCTGAATCAAAATCTGCCAGCTGTACTACCACTGTGATTTCTTTAAGTTCCTCATAACTTGACTGTTCAAATATGGACTTGATGGTCTCAAGCAAGTAGTTTCCTTTTTTCCGTTTCACAGAAGATAGCCCGATTGTAAGATACCCTGTACAAACGAGAAATCAGACAAAAACAGAGAATCTGACATTGCAAACTAGTTTCAAAGCTATCATCTAGGGCTGTGTTAATGTTAAATAAAGCTTTTGAATGGTGAAGTCTGAGAATTTGTTGTGTGAACCTACTGAGATGCATGCAGCAAAGAATGTTTATTCCTTTTTCATGAAACAAGAATCATACTGCATACTGGTGTGAAATGGACAAAATCCAAAACAACGTGAATGTGTGTGCCCGGACAGGAAAAAATCAAAATTCAATTTTAAGACTATGAAATCTGCTGAAAGAAAAGTGATTATGATTTATGATTCACACAATAGTTTTGAAACAAGGCACTGTGAAGTACAGCACCAAAACATGAACTAAACTTTTATCATTTTAAGCACAATACAGAACTAATTCCATTTATGCATGTATTTACCATTATATAATTTTATTAATTTTACAATTTGAATGTTGCGTGGATAATTTTTCTCTGCAGTTTCATTTTCAGTTTTAACTGAACTTGTCCAATTTTCCCATTGAATTTTTTTCTAACTCTCTTTCAGAACTCACTGAGTAAGCATACGTAAGTTCCTTTTGCAAGATGTAATTTGGACATCATTTTGAAATAGAAAGAACCACTGCATATCTGTATTTCCATGAGCTGTTTTTAATGCTGCTACATTTTGGTGGGGAGAGATGCATCTTCTTTGTAAGCAAACAATTTTAATCTCCGCTGCTTTGCAGTTATTATTATTACATATTTCTTTCCTGGCAGTCCAAATCAGTACTTTCAGATATCTTCTGACATATCTCTATTTTAACATAACAAATGCTAGGACTTGATAATTAAGATGAGTCTGCCCCAACTTTCTTAAAAAAGTGTTTTTTAAAAGACTACGCTGATATGGTGATGCATAGTTTTCCTTGAATCTAAACTCCACTTAAATTGTAATTGTACAGTGAAGTACAATCCCTAGAAGCCAGGCATGCTGCCTACATAGTCAGAATTTTCTCAAATCTAATTTGAACAAACTATACCTTATAGATTTCTATGAAGATCAGCAAGTCACAAGTGATTGTATTTTAGTCTGTGCTTGGACTTCGAAGCCCTGTTTACGCTGGTGAAATGATTGATTTGGAAGGACTGCTGGATAAAATTGAAGTATGTCTATATTTCACTTCAAGATGAAAGTCTTGAGCCCTGCTTGAAGTCAGAATGAGCATACAGCTTGTTCGGCTGGGAGAAGGCTGGCAGAAGAATCCTCCCATACCATCTCCATAAATAGTGCAACTCCTATCTCCAGTTATCATAGTTAAATGAACAATGAATTCCAGCTGCAAGACTGATCCAACAGGGGACCTGAAGGCTGTATCTGATCCCAATCATATTGATTGTACAGGCACAGTCTGTGTCTAGTCTTAGGGAGTGGCTGCAGAGCACCATCATCATCTGCATAGCTCCCGGTTCCTGAATCATCTCTCCCAGCTTTGGAGAAGATCCACAAAAATATCCATAGACCATATGGGGCTGCCTGAAGGACAGCTTATGAGGCAGACATGTGATTAGAAGATAAAGAAGTTGTAGGATACTCACTGCTGGGTCTGAATTAGCAGCTATCCAGGAACTGCCTGTGCAGAGATACCTGTCCCACCACACTCTCTGAGATCCTCACCGTTTAATTAATTTATCTTGCCTAGAAATACCACAGGAACTATATGGATTTCACCCATTTTAAATTACCTCATTTCATAACATTCAGATTGCAGTTACTTACTTTTCCTTGGCAAAGGCGTGCCAGCTAGGTAGCGATAGGAAATGTTTATAGATCCTGAGAAATTAGACAAATCTTTGTATGTGTGAGCATAGCGCTCTGGGTTGAGCTGGTGCGTGGCTGTTTCTCTGATTAATTGCTTGTCCCCTTCCTATTAGTGAGAAAACAAGAAGAATAGGAGAGGGAGAGAGATAGAGAGAAACACATTTATGAATGCTAGCCAGAAAGGCAACACAGACAGGCAGGTTTCCAAGAATAACATTTTTCAGTGTCAGCTTTCTTGAAAGCATGTAGATGTTACCTCATTTTTTAAAACCCATTACTGAATATCACACATTTTTGGTTGAAGGAAATAACTTTTCAGATTATGGTAAAAAGAAAAGAAGAAAAAATAGTTTGGACAAAAATTCTTTAAATGTTGTTTTTTGAAAGGTTTTGGATCAGTTAATTATCACAAAAAAAAAAAAAAATGATGGCATACTCAGAACAGGGAAAAGAGGACATCAATTCACAACACATGAGATAATTTTCCTTGAAAGAAGTGGTGGAGGAGATCTTTTTGAAAATACTTTCAGTGATTAAAAACAAAACAGCCCAAACCAATCCTCAAACAAGAAAACTATCAAAGAAGCCCTAAACAGAGCAAAGAGCAGAAGAGCAGTTTACATCACCACATTCTCTCTCCCCATCCCCTATTCTTGTTTTTTTTTTTTTCATTTGTTTGTTTGTTTGTTTGTTTTTCTTTCAAGAGGCCTCCTGAGCCTTAATGAAATCACACAAGGGAAAGAGAGACTTCATAAGCAGCAAATCATCCATAGAATCTTTCCCTCAGTCCTTAAAAAAAAAAAAAAAAAAGTATATAACAAGATGCAGCACCATGAGACTGTTTACAATTTACACTGTTTGATCCTAGTCTGATGACAGGCCAATTAAGAAATGAGTTTCTTTCTTCTACTATAGTATGTTACTATGCTAAAAAATGTCCTGACCTGTCATTAAATGAGAGCATTGTGCAGCATTAGTTCCGATTCTAAAAAGAATAACAGTAAGCAAAATTTATGTTTGATAGTATAAATATTCTAGATATGTGAAGATGTATTTTATGGTAAAAATAAATATTCCTGTAAACCAATCCCATGTACTTTTTAAGTTTACTATTTTTCTTTCATAGAAGAGTAAATAATTGGCATCTGAGTTCAGCAAAGATCTTTTGGATGATGTCCTGCACTTTTATAGTCTTTAGCGCTGCTACACTATTTCACATTTTCTCATAAGTTAGGTGAAGAAGTTTCATTCTAGGTTAAAATGCAAATCAGTGGACTGGCTCCACACCAAAACAGAAAACAGCAACAAGCAACAACAAATGCACACAACAATTGTTCTAGTACTAATATTACTTTTTCAAACAGTGTTTTTCATTAAGGTCAAAATGTCATCTGTCATTCCAAAACTGACACCAAAATTCTTCATTTCGTAGGATGTGAGAATGGAAATCCAACTTATTGCATAAAGTTTAAAAATAATTTGAAATTGGAAATGTCAAGACAAAATGTTAAAATGAACTGACCACACAAAACCAAACCAAAACAAAGAAAAACAATTTATTTATTTATTTATTTTTTTCATTTTACTCTTGAAGGAATGCCTCTTATGGGTAGATTTTGCTTTTCATTGAAAAAAAATGAATGGAAACCAAAACTGAAATATTGATTTTTCCTTAAATATAAGATCTGTTTTGTTTTTGTTTTTCTCTTTCTGACTGCTGTGGAGAGATCAATGAAGATAAGAGCTAATTATTCTCTTTAGCTGTCTTCTTTGTTTCTACGATAGCTCTGGCTCTTCTTTCTTAATTAACCTTTAGAACATGTTCTACCATTTGCTGAATCTTGAAGGATTTGTGTAAGTGTCAGGATAGTTCAAAGTGCTCCATTTTTATATACATACACTGCTCCACTAAAGATTCTATGTCAACTACAATATTGCTGCTGTTTTCACAGTGCCCAAATAAGGCTGGTATTCATAGAAGAGTTAGGAAGCCATGCTTCACTTACAATATGTAAGTGTAGAACAAGTCACAGTATCTCAACAGAGATATTGCAGTATAAGTTATATTAATTCAGAATGTTTTCTAAATGTTTGGACGAAGTGGCACTCACACTATAGCAGAACCATAAGCATATATCAGCACTGCATACCATCTATTAAAACAATTTAAACAATTTCTCCAGGTGAGCCATTAATTTCCACAGTCATTACTTTCCACTTCCACAGCAAATGCCCTGCAGAGTCCAATGAAAGGGTTTCTTCGGACATGCAAGTTTCTCCTTGTGAAACAGGAAAATCCTCCCTTCCTTTGTCACAGTGTATCTCAGTTTTAATTTGTACCTTCCTGAAGGTCTGCTCATTACATGTCGCATGTGGTGAAAGTGGTACCAGCTGTCCAAGACTGGAAAGAGCAGCTGGGCAATTACACACATACTCTGTCACTTATTTACAGGAGATCTTCCAGCAGGAAACAAGCTGTAGTTAGAAAGTCAGAAGGCCTTCAGGACTCCAAGAACTTTCAGATTCTGATTTCCTGAGGGATACTGGTTAGTTTGCTGTCCTCGAAATCTATCTGGAACTGTGTCTCTCCTCACCACTAACACTAAAGCTGCTCATTTTTTTTTTGTTTTACCTCAGCAGAGCACACACACTAGTAAATTAACAGAGCTGTCAGACATGGTCAGAAAAGTTGAAAATAAAAATAAATAAATAAGATAAAAAGTCAACAACCTGACACATTTGAAAAATGCTTGATGGACCATAAATGTATCAAGAGATCAGGGAAAACTGTCAGGAGATTTGGCAATAGACTTGGCTGGGAGATACATGAATGCAAACATGCCAGAACTGTGATGAGAGAAGCAATGAAGAAGAGTGAATTTCTAAAAAAGGGGGGAAAAGGAGCAAATTAAGAATAAGACATGGAGCCATCTGGGGAGTTGGCAAATGGGATAGGAAAAGATTTCAAAAACAAATCAAGAGGAACGCCATTAGCAGTGATAATAAAAGCACTTTCAGAGACATCTGGGGGAGTTTGAAGCAATTACTGAAAGAAGAAAATACTGCTAGGAAAAAAAAATAAATTGATAAGCCAGGTCATATTCAATCACAATGAAGAAATCATGAATAAATCAAACAGTGTAAAATCTTAGTGCTAGTGCTGTTAGAGAAAGCATTATATCAGTAATGGAGTAACGTACTGAAAGTATGAGTTATCTTTTTGAAAGTTCAAAAAGCACTAGGATGGCCTTAATTGTATTCACAAAGTTAACATTATTGCAGTGGGTAATGTAGTGAGTAAAATGTTTTTAATTAATATCACTACTAAGACACACATTGTTGTGATAAAATCATATAAGCATTTTACTATTTACGTATTGCACATATTTCATATTATTGTATTGCTATTCAGATCCAGCGAAGACTTCACCTTCCACAATATTGGGAAGTCTGTACTGCCCCATTAGATGAGTCAGACAAAGAAGAATTACAAAGTCATTCATTAGTTCAACTTAAAATCAAGAAAAAAGACTGTCTAATTGTATCACAATGCTATATGTTAGTTAATTAGTCATTTTATTATTTGTTAGCTCCACCTTTTTGGCTATCATGCCCTTCCACTGGGCCCAATCCAATTTCTGATGAACTGGAAATTCAAAATATAACTAATACTTCAGGTCATACGTCTCATTCTCCAGTGAGACGTCGATAGGGTACATATAAATTGCAGGTTATGTTACATTCTCAACAACCTACTTGTTGAAATTCTTAACAGACTTTTTGATTATTTATTTATTTATTTATTTATTGCTATCATTGACTTACACTAGGTGTCATTTCCATCTAATTGTTCACACTGTAGCACCGAACCTAGAAGATTCAAATCTGGGAAACAGAATATGACAAAAACATAGAATAAAAGCAGTGAAAAGAAATTATTCATACAAGAGCCTAAAAGTAATATGGAATTAATGTAGATTCTCTTCTATAATTATATTCTCTATCATCATGTAATGTAGTATTTACAGGTATGATTCGTAGTATGGACTGAAGAAGAAGCTCCTAGTTTACCTGAATATTCCAGATGTAGGCAATTTCTACATTAAAACTGAAGAAATGAAGAAATATGGGAAATACAGGATACATTTTGGCTTAGAAAGAGGTATCTGATAGAAAAAATCTTCTACATTCATTTTCTCCTATACTTAGAACGAAAACTAAAGGACAGTTCAGATCTTACTGACACACCTATGTGTGTTGTGTATTGATGACTTCATCAGGACGCACTTTTCTGTTAACTGTACACTAAAAGGAGGAGACTACAGGAATTATGAACCTTAATGATTCACTGTATTTTATTGTTCCAGAATTTCTTTCATCTAAGAAACTTACCAAAACATAACCATCTTCAATGTACAAATTCATGAAGAGCAAGCAAATGACAAGGACGCCTAAGAATGACACTGCTGATCGTTTCCGCAAGCATCTCATTTTATCAAAATATTTCAAGTTGTGTCTCATATGAAGAAAGGCATACGGTAGTGTCACCTATGAAAGAAAATCACAGTGTTACAAGAACTCTTCATCTACCTGATAGGTACGAGAGCAAAACAATATGTATCAAAACTCTTCAAATATACATAGAATATACTCTTTAAGGTGGGATTTATTTCATGTAATCTTGGTCATCTTCAAGCTACATCTATAATCCTACCTATAATTTAACCTTCCTTTTCCAGTCAATAAAGAAAAGCACACTTTATCCTACCCATTTTAGGCTGGCACTATAAAAACATTGTGACAGGAGAACATCAGCTATTCAGTTCCCCCTGCATAAATTTCTTAGATTCCATCTAGATGACTAGCAAAGATGATTTGTACCTGTACTTCCTTTCAAATACAGCTCAAGCCAAAAGGCCAGGAAGAATTTATTTCTCGTCTAAATATCCTTGCCAATGGGAAAAGTGTGGATACTCCCAGGCATCAATGAGGCATCTTTCCTGAAGAAAGGAGGTAACATCAGAAATCTGCAGCACCCCTCAGCCTCAGACACTTGTACTAGTATGAAAAAAACTTCCATCAGAGCAGTTATTTTCTCCACTGATTGTGGAAGAAAGATCAGTGTCTACCTTAGACTGAATGCATATAGCTGTTGGAAAGCCCATATTGCCCCAATTAAACAAATCAAAGAAAAGTGGCACAAAGAATCAGGAAGCTCATTAATAGAGTTCAAGATCAAGAAAGAAGGCTGTCTAATCATATCACAATGTTACATATTTATTATAGTGATGTTGCTATTTAAACAATATGAAAGCCATTCTTGGATATCAGATCACAAACATTAACTTGTTCTAATGTGTTTAACTACTTCTCTTTGAACTACATTTCATTGAAAATTGTCTGACCACAAACTAAAATGAAAACCACACAGATTCCAGACTGCATTGCTCAAACATTGAGGAATTCTTAACTGAAAAGTAGATTATAAGCTCATTGTTAATGTTTTCACTGTTTTTAAGTGCAAAAGTGTTATGGCTGTTGTTCGTAACAATGTATGATTTGTCTATAATATTTAATATACTGAAAACATATGAACAGAGTGCAAAGATCTACTAATCTACATGAAGAGGTAAGTAGCACTACATGTGCATGTTTAAACTCTGTATTTAAATACCCTCATTTTTTAAAGCACTGAACATCTAAACTGACAGAAAATGTATCCAACTATGAATTCCACAGAAGATTTATCATGTTAAGTTGATAGTTTTCTGGACTACCAATGAAAAATCTTTAAAATGTGGAATTCAATCCATATTTACTTTGCCAAATTAATTAAATATATCTGACAGTCCATTAGACTCTAGAGAAATGAGAGGTAAGTACATCAGGTGTAAGTAGTGCAAAGATGAAACTACTGAGTTTTTTGCATATAGATGAACTGCAGTAGATGGATGCTGGCTGCTTTTAATATCATTGGCTTTAAAATCACTATGTTGAGAACAATAAGAGCAACTTATATCTTGCACAAAGGAAAAGAACTATTAATGAACAACTGAGTATTTTTCATAAATTGGCCAGACTTGTCCCCGTTTATTTGAGGCTGGGCAGAACTGAAGCAGACCGATCACCATGAATCTGAATAAGTCCAATGCAGGCATTTTTTTTTAGTTTACAATAGTCCATTGCATTTCCTTACCGTCTAATGGTATTGAGCATCAGGAAGGGGCTATCAAGGCCGTGAATCTTCAAACTCTTGCCCTCCATCCACTGACAGCACAGTGATTACTGGGGATCTGTGGATTCAACACGCTATCAAAGGACACCATATCAGTTGTGGAAATGAAAGATTGCCCCTGTTCTAGATTTGGCCATGAAACATAATACATACATACATATATGTATGTATACTTACATATATGTAAATATATATACATAAATATAAATGCTTTTTCTCACAATGTAACTATGCCTTTTCAAAGCAATACACTCTTTAAGACTGATGAAACTAACACTGGAAAGATTAGATACTGGCAGTTCTTAGAGAATGGTCTGAGACAGCCTGACTGCTGAAAATTCAAGCAACAAGACATAGAGTGCTTAGAACCACTATCAGATTTAGGGATATCAGAGATACGCTGCAGCTGCACATAGAGGAGTTTTCCTTTGGAATACTTGAGAATAAATAAATGGCTTTACAGACACAGGATGACTGTTCACATTGCTGATTGCACTGTGGTACCTCCCTTGTCTTTGTTCAGATCAACTTGACTGAAGTCAGTAAGTGTGAGGAAGGTGTTTGTAACTACATTTGCTTGTTATATTTTCTTCTTTTAAGGACCAGCAATTTTCATTAGATAATTACTTTGTTAAATTAGGAACAGACGTTGCTGGAATTTTACAAGTGAGACTGGAGGAAGGCTATTATTATTAATGATAATGGAGAACTATTAATGCAGAAAGATAATTGTTCCATATGGCCAACATTCAATAGAAATTGCTGACATTTCTTGTGTTGGTTTCACACAAAATCATTAAAACAATCTTGGTTACAGATAGAATCCTTGAAACTGTTGGAATTAAAACTTAGTTCCAAGGTTGATTATTTATGCTCATAAAGCTTACAGGATCCTACCAACCCGAGGAACTACAGAGAAGGACATCCAGTTGTGATGAAACCTCTGCTGACAGAACTTCACGGAGGAGACACAGCTGCAATCACTAACACCAGATGGCAGTGTAGATGCGTGTTTACCAGCCTTCAACCTGCTCCAAAACCTGCTTCTTCCAGCCAGTTTGTCTGAATGTACTATTTGGCATACTTAAAACGTAAGCCTTTAGCTAAAAATATTCAAGCCTCATACATATGGAATTCCTTACATTTTCCTAGAACTGCTTTTTCTTGCATCACTATTTCCAATCTGTAACATGGCACTTTGAAACACTACAAAAGTGAAATATGAAAGGATAAAAAGATAGTGGTAGGCACTCTCAGTCGTCTTTTGAAAAAATAATATCAGAACTTCTCATAAAGATTTTTCTGCTGTTCTCTAAGCCCATTTGAGCAGAATATATACCGTCACACAAAACTAAGGCTCTGAGATTGAAAAAAAAAAAAAAAAAAAGCTTCAACTTATCAGTTATGAAGCTATATCTTTGCCATAGGATTTTATGCTTTCATTATTCATGCACAATTAAGTAGATATTAGAATGCTATAACTGCAATTTGTTTCATAAAGCTAGCATTAAGCAGTTAAAATGTAGTTATTAATACGTGTGCATGGATCCTAACTCTTTTCCTTTCTAGATGAGATGTATCATTTTCTTCCCTCTCTTTAGACTCCAAAACTCTAATATACATTTGTATTCACACATGCTTGTGCTGTTATGCATAGTAATTTTAAACTATAATTCTTGTGACTTTCTAAGATGATACAGACATGAAAGGACAATGAACTAAAATATGCAATCACATACCTTGCAGAGAGAAGCTGTTTTTTATAAGACCTGCAAAGGTGTGACGGCTTTGTAAAGATCAGAACTGATTTTCACACAATAATATGATGCTTTTTCTTGCAGAATTTGCAACACTCAACAGAATTTTTAAAAAATGTTTTAGAAAGCAAATTCTGAATGCACTTCTAGTAATAGTCTCTTCCTAATAGCCAAGTCTTTGAAACAGACAAACAAAAAGTTAAATTTAAATTTAAAGCTGTCAAAAGTTTTAAACAACTTTCAATTGTGATGTCTAGGTGGCTTTTTCCAAGAATAAAAAGTGGCTAAAAGCAAAGCTTCTGCCTTATTTTCCCCCTTTTCAGAGGTAAGAGGATATTTTTGCCAACTCTGCAATAATTTCTATGTACCACACATATGCAATTTCACTGTGACAAACCATTTCATATTCAATCTTGTCTAATTCTTCATGACTTTCTGACAATACTTGCCACATTTGCTTTGTCCCACTTTCAGAGACTACTGTTCAATTACCTGATCAATTTCCTTTGCTTAAAAGATAAATGTTAAAAGGCCCTGTGGTTTTCCTTTACAACCTAAACATAAACTTACCTAACCAATACAGTGGATCTACTTGTATCTACAAATGTAAAGAGGTACAGCAATGACATCATCAATTATGTTCTGAGTCGCCATTACTGGATGTGTTTAAAAACAGTTTGGATGTGGTGCTCAGGGACGTGATTTAGTAGAGGATTGTTATTTAGGGTAGTATGGTTAGGTCATGGTTGGACTTGATGATCTTTAAGGTCTTTTCCAATCTGACTGATTCCATGATTCTATGATTCTACCCTTGTTTGCTTGAGTGCTGTGCCCTAGCAGCTAAAGAAAAGTAGCGTATTTACAGAGGAACAGATAGGTGTCAGAAATGATAATTTTTTTTTATTATTATTTTTAATATATTTCCAAATCAGGCACGAAGCTTTGCCTGTCACTAGTCTTCCAGGACATACAATAGACAAGATCTATTACCATGCTAATTATATAAAGAAAATTCTGAGATAACATTCCCAAAAAATCATGACTGGATTACTAAATCCTGTGTAAACTTTATTGCTCCTTGATTTAACTAAGATGCTCTAAATTAGGTTCTTCACTTCTGAGCTCTGAGACATATCATTCCACCATTGTATAACTAAATTGCTTTACTTGCAATTCCTGTTGCTTGTCCAATTTTTTTTCAGAATTTCTGTTTGGAAGACTGCACAAGATGCCTCAAGGTTTCCATTCAATCTTTTTTACAAATAGCAAATTAAGCAAAGGAAAAAATAAAATGAATTTTTGTACATGATTACTATTAAATTCTGCATGTGTCATGGTCTTCTTACATAAGATGAAAACACAGAAAGAAAAAAAAGGACACTGAACCCTAAATTACCATATATGTTTGAGCTACAGTTTTTGGTGGACTAGAAAATTATAATGGATAAGTTTTTGCTATTCCACAGAGCTCAGACAGACTCACAGCAAAATTCACTCTCTATCTTACTGAAAGCCTGAAAATATGGATAAAATGTTTAAGGCTGACAGGCAGGATGTTTGCTGTCACTGGCAGCAGAAAAGTAAAAACTGTTGTGAGGGAAAAGAAGCTCTAGCTTAGAACGAGGCTAACAAATCCAGATTTTAGAACTTGAGTTTTAAGCTGGCAATGAGTACAGATTTTAGATGGTTTACTGTTTCATTTTGTAGCTCCAAATGCTAAAATAGTCCTAGAGATTGTCATGTCTTCTGAAACTTATATTTCATATACAGAAAGTCAAAAAAAGATGTAGAAGAATGAATAGACTACTCAAAATTTTGTATATAAAATGTAGAGCTTTAACTCAATATACTATTGGAGGATGAAATGTCTTCAGCTTCAGAATGACACAGAGCAACAAAACTTACTTTAGCTACAATGCTCTGAGCAAAACATGAAGTAGATCCCTTGGTGTGGAGGAGTCAAGTCTAATCAAGGTGAAGAGGTGACTAAAAGTGAGAAGATGTATTGACTTAGATGGTAAACTACTATCTAATTAATCACTGAGTGGGTAGAAGTGTATACCACTGGATATATTTTATCAAGTATGTTATGGTGTGAAAGATGGATTTTAGAAAAATTGTTTTAGGTGATGATTTGATGGGATGTGGAAAAAGCCTACAAGGCTACAAAAAA